GGGCCTAGTTGCTCCGCGGCATGTGGGATCCTCCCGGACCAGGGCTCAAACCCGTGTCCCCTGCATCGGCAGGCGGACTCTTAACCACTGCGCCCCCTGGGAAGCCCTATAGACACTTTTTAAAATCCATTCATCAGTCAGTGAACATTTAGGTTGTTTTCCACATATGGTATGAAGGGTTGTCAAAAAATTAAAAAGTAGAACTACCATATGATCCAGCAATCCTACTTCTGGATATCTGTCCAAACGGATTGAAATTGGGATCTTGAAGAGAGATTAGCACTCCCATGTTCATTTGCAGCACTATTCACTATAGCCAAAATGTGCAGTTTTTTTTGTTTGTTTGGTTGGGTTTTTTTTGCGGTACGTGCCCCTCTCCCTTTTGTGGCCTCTCCCGTTGCGGAGCACAGGCTCCGGACGCGCAGGCCCAGCGGCCATGGCTCACGGGCCCAGCCGCTCCGCGGCATGTGGGATCTTCCCGGACCGGGGCACGAACCTGTGTCCCCTGCATCGGCAGGCGGACTCTCAACCACTGCGCCACCAGGCAAGCCCCCCTTCTAGGTTTTTGATTCTAGAAAGGAGAAGCAGAGGCAGGACTAGAATCTGGGCCTCCTGACTCCAAGTTTCTAAGGGTGTATGACAAAACATCTCTACCATTTTCCTTTAACTGTATATAGAATGTGTTTCTCTCAAATGGTGAAAGGCAGCTGATTCAAATAACAAATCAATCTCTTCAACTGGCTTTCAGCTTTCTTTTCCATAGGGCCAACATTTGCTTTTAAAATGAGGTTCTCCAAATCCCAGGCTACTTACTCCATTCAGTCATGTTTTCATTTTTCTGGTATAGAAATTCTTCAAAAAAAAAGGAGAACCTTCAAAAAAAAGATAGACTTAAACCTGTATATTTATATCTCTGGCCCTTCTATCTCATATTGAATATAGCATCTTTCTTTGCCCATATATGTTATAAACTGACTTTTAGAGGAATAAGTAGGGGGATAGGATGGCACCTATTAAATTTGCATGTTTTACTTTATAAATAAAAATGAGACTTCTTTACACATTTAGCTTATTTTTCCCATTTTGCTAAAAATGAAAGCCCGGTTCAGTTGTGCCTCATGCCATGTCTTCCCTCGCACTGATCATCCCTCTGATTTGTTTAAAAGGAAACTGCAACCTGTAGAGAATAGCCCGAAGCAGCAGGGGGAGAAAACTTGTCACAGCTGTCTGGGGCCTTGCCAAGGGGCAAAGTTCTCTCATTGGATAAGACCCATTTTTCTCCTCTTATCCATTGCTTCCCACTGCACGACTGAAGGCCCTCTGCAAACACGCAGATGTGCCAAGCATAACACGATCACACCTAGTCAGGGTGGCAGCCAGCCCTGGGAGATAGGCATGCAACCAGGGCATATTGCCGCTGGGTTTACCCTTTCATCTCAGAGCTGCCCAGGCAGGTCCTTTTTTCTTCTGCTCTTGTGCTGGTATTGATTCCAGCAACATACGGACATTTTAGAGTTTTGGTAATAGCTCGCTCTTTTTTTTTTCCCTTCATATTTTAAACTGTCTTAGAGTTTTTTTGAAACAGTAGGTGGAGACACAGATAAGTTCCCTGATTTATTTCTTACAGTCACAGGAGCTAAAGTGATGCAAGTCAGACCAATGTTAGAAAGCTGGAAGCAGAAATGAATTGCCCTCTACGGTATATTCAGATGGACTGAGTCAGCAGGTAGAACTTAAAGTACATACATACAGAGAAAAATTCGTTAGATTTTTAATACCTGTGATGTATAGCTGCAATAGGAAAGTTTTCTAGGATTTGTGGAAGGAAAATAATTGAATATGGTTATTTAGATGTAGCATTTCCCCACGCTTTCTCTTTTTCCTTTATGGAATGTTTCTCTCCTACTTTCCACTTACCTGCATAAGATACTTGGCATCCCAAGTTATTTTTAGAGCTGTGTGAGATGCAGCTATGATATCAAAGGAAAAATTCCACTGGTTTTTAATATTTGGTTCAAACTGTACTATCTTAAACCTCAGGGAGTATCTCTACCAAACCACTTTCATTTGTGAAAGCAGAGTGGAGGCGCAGACCAGAGAGATCACACACAGCAACCTAGAGGATAAAGATCTTATCCAAACACCGGCAGCATGCCATGAGGAAAAGCTGCCATATGAAAAAAAATACATTTTCAAAGATCATTTTATAATAGTCAGTAGAAGCCAGGTTTCCCTTCTCTTCTTTTTCTGTTAGATTTTATTGCACTTAAACTTCTTTGTCAGAGGTGAACAATGAGGAAAATTATCACGTTTGTTTCTTTGATGAATGTTCCTGGCTTCATTCACCTATCCTTTCTCACATTAAAATTTCTTATGGTTTGAAAATTTGATATCAAAAACTGACTTGAATGGCACGTTATTTCCTTTGAAATATTGGCTACTGCATGATTATAGCTACAAAGTCAAAAGAGATGTTTTTCTTAACTTGGAGGGCTGTTTCAAAAATGTAATGCAGGCAGAAATCTTGCATTTGCTTTGATTTTAATAATAGACCAACCAGATAGTACCACAGGCATTATAAGCTATAAGCCCACTATGAATGGCCTTTGACTGAGTCTCAAACATGCAGCCTGTAATTGGGCAAGAGCTTTGTATCATTTGAGCTCCATATCCATTTTGAGTTACAGCTTAATCTACTTAATATAGGGTTCCTTGCATTACTGAGTTGACAGATTTCACTTGGCTGAAAGCAAAGTGCTAGAAACAATGACTGAAGATACAGAATTAGATCTTTAGACCAACATCCAGCTAGGAATATGATCAGTAAGTACCAAATGGCTAACATTCCAGGACATTTCTAACCTTTTTTGGTGCAGACCTGGGACAAGTCAATAAAACTGATCAAGAAAAGATCAGTTTCTTTTCACATGCAAGATTCTTATGAAAGATAAATATATTCTCAAGCTATTTATAGAAAATTATTAACAGGTTTTTTTTAAAAGTACAGCTTCTTTGCTATTTCTTGTAATTTAGTGAGCTATTATGATCTTATTGCTGTAAATTTGAGGTCAGGGTCATTTATTGTGACTAACTCCAGTGTCTTTAGTTCCGTGAGAATGATGCTTGTGAATGCTTTGAGAAGTACAATTTCGAGCCTTGACAAGATTCTAATTAGTGTTGGGTATAAGTGGCTCAGTTCAGTGGAGATTATGTTTCAACTTGTCTAAAAACTAAAACAGGGAGAAATCAGCACTTTCTTATAAACTTTCCTTAATATTACTCATTTTCTTTTCTATGCCTGCATCATCCAGCTAAGCTTTTCCATTCCAAAAGAATGTATTAGCCAATTAAGAATTCAAATGTGGTAACAGCATTGTTCTCTCTGAGATAAGTTACTAAATTACAATATAATAAAATCATAAAATAGATTCAGTATGTGGGAGGGGAGATATTTGAAGTAATATTTTGAAGGGATTTATGAAGTAATTCCCTTTTCATGTTTTTGGATAGAGGCACATTGAATTCATACCAGTGTGAATTTTTTACTTTTACCACCAGGGGGCAGGGTATGCTAACTATTGAATTAGTAGATGTCAAAAGGCGCACAGGAAGTGGATTTTAGACAGAAGTGAAAAATTCCCTGAGGGTTTCCCCACAGATCCTTTAGGGGAAGAGTTGTTGACTTGCTCACAGTAAATTTTCACGCCAGTTATGAAAAACTAGATAATTATGATATCAAACTATTGAAGTTCTTTTACAAGTAATTCTATGACATGTTGATTTGTTCCATTTTATTAACAATCATGGTTTTAATTTAAAACTGAAATTTTACATTAATTAAAGGAAACTGAAAATAATAATGTTTATAGATCACTTTCTTAATTATTTCAACTCAAATTTCATGTACCTTTGCAAGAAAAGAGCTCACTTTGGGAACTTTAGAAAATACAGGTAAATGGATATAATTTAGAAATCTTTTTGGAGAAACATTGAGAAACTTTAATAAGCATGATAATTTGTTTCATGAGGTTCTCTTTGATGATCATTAGCCATTCCATCTGCCAACAAGCAAAGACAGTTGTCTTTTGAGATCTGAGGCTAATTCAAGAAGAGAATAGTTCAAAAGACAAAAGACATATCTAGCATGGGGGTTTTGTATTTGGTTTTCTGAAGTCATACTTCTTGGAAGAAAAGATATGGATTGGAATTATCAATGTTTACTTGTGCTTACGCAACTGAAAAGTATTTCAAAAGCAAGAGCCCAACTGGACATTGATAAAAGATTTAAAATATGTGCACAATTAATGTTTTATTGAGGTATCAATGACATATAACATTAGTTTCAGGTGCACAACATAATTCGATATTTGTATATATTGAAAAATAATCACCACAATAAGTCCAGTTGACATCAGTCACCATACATAGTTACAATGTTTTTTCTTGTGATGAGAACTTTTAAGATCTACTCTTAGCAACTTTCCAATACACAATACAATGTTAGTAACTGTAGCCACCATACTGTACATTACATCCTCAGGATTTATAACTGGAAGTTTGTACCCTTTGACCCATTTTGCCCATCCTGCACCCTCTACATCTGGCAACCACCAATCTGTTCTCTGTATCTTTGAGCTCTTTTGTTTGATTCCACACGTAAGTGAGATCATACAGTATTTGTCTTTCTCTGTCTGACTTACTTTACTTAGCATAATGCCCTCAGGGTCCATCCATGTTGCAGATAGTAAGATTTCATTTTTTGTGTGGCTGAATAATATTTCATTGTAATAATTAAGAATATTTTTGAAAGCAAAAACTGGATTTATATACACTGTAGGTAAGCCGCACTTATTTACATCTGTCAATACATGTGATTTCATATTGATCCTGGTGACCATTCCTTTAATATTATCAATGATAAGGCTTAAAAACTTTATTAGAAGTGAAAATTTCTCAGATGTGTGAACAATGCCTTTACTCCCCTCCTCATTTCTTTTCAGTGTCCAAGCAAAACCTATGACCCACTGATTAAATCCACCCGAGATTTTCCAGACGATGTCATCAGTTTCATAAAGCGGCACCCTGTGATGTATAAATCAGTATATCCAGTTGTGGGAGGACCAACATTCAAGCGCATCAATGTGGATTACAGACTGACACAGATTGTGGTGGATCACGTTGTCGCAGAAGATGGCCAGTACGATGTGATGTTTCTTGGGACAGGTATGTTAGAGCCAAGTTATGCCTTCTTTCAAATGAATTTTTCATTATTAGACAAACAAAAACTTCAAAAAAGTTTACCGGCCAAAATAAAAATGAGTAACTATTAGCTAATACCCAGTCAGTGTTTTTTTTAAACTTGTATAACACGTGCTTTTAATTGACAATCATACATATCTCCCAGCCTCCATTAGTGTTATGTGAGATTTCAAAATATACTACTATATTATGACTGCAATGTGCCTGCTACAGATGAGGTGCTCAATACATATTTGTTGAATGACTATGGACTAAAACAAATAGGTAAAGCAAAGCTTCTCTATTTTCAAACTTCACATTTCCCTCTCTCTACAGAGATATTTGATAATCTTACCCCAAAGGATCCCTTCACCCAATTTTGAGAATCACTGACTTAGATGGCTTATGGTGGTTTCAAAAAAGTTAATCATTAATTTGTAAAGAGCTTAAAGTAGAAACTACTTGGTGATTATTTTTCCTGTCCTTGAATTTTGTGGATTAAGTATCACTTTCATTATTAGAGCCCATTTTATTTATTTTTTTGACTGCCAACTCAGTAATTATAAAATGATTACCTTTTTTTTCAAGGGAAAGAAATATTGCTTATTTGGTGCATCTCAAAAAAAAAAAAAGTAATATCTAATAATGTCCTGTGAATTGTATTGGCAGTAAAGATAACATGTATCATTAAAACAAAAGCACTACATCCTAGATAATGTTATGTAATTTGATGGATCACGCATTGCATAAAGAAATAGAAATTTGATGAGTTTTTAAGAAATGGACATTTTTCCTGAAATGTTTTTAGGACTATAAAACAATTTTAGAATAATTTTATTTTTTAAGATATATTGGTTTTACAAAAGTTAGGTTTATTAGGAAGCGTCTGTGTGACAGACTCAGAGGACTTTAAGAACACCAGTTGTCAAACCTGATTATGTTGCAGATGGCAGTACCAAGGCCCAGGGAAAAAAGTAATACTTTCAAGACTACAGAGATTACTACTGAAGCGTCAAAACATTGAAATAATTAGTTTGTCATTCATTCTAATGAGCTTTTGCCCCTTAATTGCACTGCCCACCCAAAGCTCATTTCTAGTTCTTCAACATTTCAGGCTCAGAAAAGCCATTTAGCCACTAGGTGGTACTACCTAACTTTTACTTAGAAAATTATGAGGATACTAAGATAGATTGATTTTCAATTATGACATTCAGAAAATATATATTTAATATTTTTCAAAGATCCTAGAGTCATTTAAAAACAAATAACCCAGACTATTTTGTACAAATAGGATATTACCATACATGTTAACCTACTTCAACCTCTGTGCTCAGAAGTTTAAAAGCAACTATTTTATTTTTATGTGTAAGTCAGTCTATACATTAATTTCCAAATGGGATCTTTTTCTAAAATGTTCTTTTGATCGTCTTTCTGTAATAACATGCCACCTTGTGGACTGCAATATATGATTAATCTTGTGATAATAGTTTAGTTCTTTTAAATTGAACTAAAATAATTGGACAAAATTTTATTTTCTAGCCCATTAATTATATTTCTGTAAGTAAAATACATTTTATGAGTGAGCTACTACATCCCCCATGTAGATAGCTTCAATGATTTCCCTTTCATTTGTTAAGATGATTAAAAAATATATATATTTATCTTTCATGGTGAACTGGATAAGTACTGAATAAATATTTCTTACATTGAGAGAGAAAATTTGTTAATATATTTTAACCTTTTAAATTAAATTCCAAAAATGTTGTTCCTCTTTTGTTACCCTTTCAACTAATTTTTAAAGGAGACATCTCTATTCCTTGTGTTAGGAATACACTCTGAATGTGTGTCTTTTAATATTTTCTTTATAAATGTGTTTAATGAGCTGAAAGCTATAGTATTTCAAAAGGGGAGAATCATACACATTAAGCTTCACTTCTCGCATGCTTTGTTTAACCTGATTGCTTGAAAGGCATTGAAAAAAAAATGAGGGGAGCCATGTGAAGGTTGCTAGGAAAATGCTTAACTAAACATTGCAGTAGAAACAACAGGATCATGTGTAATGTATTTTTTCAGACGTTGGAACAGTCCTAAAAGTTGTCAGCATTTCAAAGGAGAAGTGGAAAATGGAAGAGGTAGTACTGGAGGAGTTACACATATTCAAGGTAAGACTTAGGCCAGAGTTCCGGGAGAAGCAATGGCGAACTGGAGCAGTTCTTATATAGGACATGATCGTGTCAGTATGTCACCACTCTTTCTGAAGAAGTCTTTGCAGTTAGCTTCTTTATTTTTCTTTTCCTTAAGCGAAGGAAAAAGTTTTAAAAGCAACTAAGAATGGGACTCATCATTTTCCCCTGCAGAAATATCACTGAACTTGGGGCTCCTGGGTTGCCCCTCATGACTGAGTTCTCTAAGCATATGTTCAGACAAATCACCACGGTAGATGAAAGCCTAGGGTCTCTTTTACTATCCAGATGCTTTTCTACTTTGTAAATTTTACTTTTCAATTTTTCCTCAATTGAATTTAAGGAAACTGGAAGAATGTATAAATCATGTGTCCCTGCATTTCTGTAAGGAATTTTTTTTTTTTAAGTTGCTTGATAGTAAGTCTTTATGTATGTTAAATTCCCCTCAACCACCAAAAGAGTTAGTAGATCTAAAATAATAGTTCTCCAGATTTGGGGAATGTCCTTAGACTTTTAACAGTAGTAAATTTGAACTGTGGCATTCTTTGCAGACCTTCAATGAAATTCAATTTAGAGTTATTTTCTAAAATGAAATTAGAAATAAAATTGCATTTCTTAGAAGAGCTTTTAAAAAATATGCTGTCTTTTATACCATTTTTGTTGAGACAGTTTATTAAAATAGACTGTTTCCATGTAAACTTCTGTTGCCTTAAAAGAGAGTAGAGCTCTCTGCTGTGAGGGGCTCAAGTTAATTAACAGACTGGGTTCCACAGGATCCTGTTTACATCGTGATGATAACAGTGGTCCAGGAGTTAACAAGAACAAGACCTGCTCTCTGGAATCTACCAGAAACAAAGTCATGGGTAGTTCCTGAGGGAAAAGCCAATGTCAAATATAAGTGCGAACACAGAGGGCAAAAATAAAGCCTGCATAATACACAGAGGCACATTAGACCAGAGGGCAAAAATAAAGCCTGCATAATACACAGAGGCACATTAGACCAGCGGTTATTACTGACCAAGAGGATTGTTTGGATTCCACTGTTAAGATTAAATAATTACCCTGTTTGCTTAATTCATAAAAAAAGTTATTGGATAGAACTTTCTTATTTAACATTTCTTTTCATTTTTTTTCATATATTTTCTTAAAGTTTTAATATCTGCTTGTGTTTATTGCTTAGTAAATATTGGCTGGTGAGAAATGAATAGTCAAATATATAGAGAGAGACATAGACGATAGATAACAAAATGCTTAAACATTCCATCCTTTTTAGTTTGGTAGCTTTTGTGTTCATGTTTTAAATTTTGTATTGCACGCATAGAGGCTTGTTTTCTACACATAAAACTTTCATGTTGTGAAACCATGTGCATCGTATCTTGCAGTGTTTTATAAAGAATATGCTCATCCACAAGAAGCACTATAACTTCTTAGAATTTTACTACTTGAACAAGTTTTTGAACTACTGATCTAAGTGAGAGCAGAAAGAGGCAATAAATAATTATGGAGATGTTCGTGTCAACACTAGTTTGAATTATATCGAAGCAGTTAAGATAAGCAGAGTCAGAAGAGGGAGAAACCTTGTGGGTAACCGGGAACAATTTTCAATGCAGTGTCTCCTCATACATTTAGGTAATTTTTCTTTAATAAGATTTAAAAATAACTATTTTGATAATTTTTATTAAGGTTGAATCACTACACATGGGAAGGAAATAGCAAACATTAAGATCTTTTTCTCCTCTATATAAACAGAGCCTTGAAGTTTACTCCAATTATCCTTGGTACAAGATAAAACAAAATATTGGCTACTCTAAAAGATTGTTCATGATTATCTTTATTAATAGTTAAATTTTATTTTCAGCATTCATCAATCATCTTGAACATGGAGTTGTCTCTGAAGCAGGTACTTTCTAATTTTTGTGTAAAAATTAGCCACAGAAGATTGTTTGCATCAAACTTTATTTTAGGGAAAATCCATTGAAACTAGAAGTTAAATTATAAATAGTGTAAAAAGCTTTAGATTATTTGTTTCTTTTATAACTGATTATAGGGCATTGTTTCAGCCTTGCCTTAGGAGACAGGGGACCCAATTTCATTAATTGAATAATACATTGTCCCCTTCCTTTGGCTCCTGAAAATTGAGCTCACTTTCCTAGTCTCATGAGAATGTCATTCTGTCAAGGCTGTAAAGTAAGTCATGTAGAATACTAGCCCTAAACATTAAAGATGGTTTTTAATCAGCGAGTCTAGGAGTTAGACTATGGACTGCAATGGCAAACAGCCCAATAGTCACATGGAGCTGGAAGGCAAAGGAACGTGCTAACAAAGTTGAGCAGGAATGGAACCACGTTCTGGGGAGACAGAGATGAGACGAACTGGTGTAAAAGGGAGCCAGGGGAGGGGGGCAGGAATGGAACCCCGTTCTGGGGAGACAGAGAGGAGACGAACTGGTGTAAAAGGGAGCCAGGGGAGGGGGAGAGACCGGCAACTCGAGCTATGAAGGATGCTGCAGGTAACCAGATAAATAAAAAGAAGGATGGGACGGGGAAGCATATGCCGAGTAGAAGAGAGGGGCCCTTTGAAAAGGCATGAAGAGTGAAAGACTCGCACTTATTCTAATAAGTTTGTGTACGATTGGAGCAGAGAGCATAGGTGCACTCAAGGGGCAAGGAGGCTAGAAAGGAATCTGGGGAAGTAGGACAGAAGAAGAGTAGACACATCCTTGCACAGAGACCCTCCTGAGAAGTTTAACAAGTTTATCCAAGACAATGAAGACCTTTAAAGATGTTAAGCCGGCGGGTGTCATGATAAGATTTTCCTCTTAGAGAGAGCAGCCTGGCGTGGCAGTGTGGAAGAGGGACTGAGTCCTGGGGTGGAGGTGAGGGTTGCCGGAAAACAAGGGTGAAGCCAGCTGAAACGGTAAGGACACTTACAGGTCATCAAGGAAGGAGATGATAAGGACTGAGACAAAGGCAAGGGGCAGTGCAGAGCGAGGCGGAAATGGATTTGAGAGCTCCGTGTAAGAGAACGGAGAGATAAGGTGGCGAACGGAGTGAGAGTGAAAGAAGATTCAAAGACAGCTCCCAGATTCGTGCTGGGGGCGCCTGGGATGGTGTCTCTTGGTCAGGGTAGGGTAGGAAGACTAGATTTAGGGGAATCAGTGTGTGCGTGTTTATGTTGTTTTCAAAATAACTCTGAGCCTTTGTACAGGAAGAAGAGTAAAGATGAGAATCGCAAAGAGGGAAACCCAATGTTCAAGGCAAAGGAAGGAACCATCAAAGGAAACAGAACTCTAGGCAGAAATAAAGAGGGAGAACAGGAGAAAGCGAAGAGACTTTCAAGGAGGCTTTAGTCTTACTGGTATCAAACGCTAGAGAATTATATAGTAAAATACTAAACAAAGTCCACATTTAGCCTCCAGGAGGTCTTAAGTGGGTGGTAGGGGTGTAAGACAGATTTCTATAGGTGGAGTTCGTGTATGTTATTTGTGCCAATATCTATTTCTCAGATTTTTTTTTTCCTCCATTTAAAGTTTGGCATGTCCACTAGACTTGACTGTAAGTTACTTGAAGGCACAGACTATGGCTTATTCACTTGTTATCATCCCTCCCTCTGCCTCCACCACATACCCTCAAGTGAATACATGTAGGGAGCAGTGCACTATTTTCAGGACTTATTTTCAAAACGTGATTCTATTTGCTGAGTTTGTCAGTATCCTGCAGGCTTTCACGTGTGATACAGCATCCCACAAACCTCCTTAATACTTTCTTCACAGTGATAGCAAATACTTTCTCTCTCACTTATCACTCAACTTCCTTCAGGGATCCGTACTACATTAACAAATGAAATGGTTAGTTAAGATCACAGGAAAGTTTTTCATAAACCTCTTTTCAGTCAACTCTTATATAAGAAGCCATGGCAGGAGAAGACACATCAGTGTTGCCTGTAGCATCTGTGCTTGATATAATCTACCAGAGTGTATTTTCAACTACTAAGAAAGAATCTGACATCTTAATTCCTCAGTCTAGCAGCTGGTTTTTGACCTTAAATTACTGCCAAGGTTACGCTAGCTCTCTAGAATGCCGTCCAATTCTGTGTCATCATCTTCAAACCACCATCCAACCAGGGATAGAAGACTGACTTATCTTACTCTCCCTTATGTTTCTGTGCAAGTGTTTATAACGGGCAGGGCACCTGAGGAGACAGATTTAGGTCTGTGATGTGGTATTCAAGAAAGGGAAGTTCTTAAGACTTGTCTGAAAGATGCTTCTAATGCATTTGTTTTGCCTGATTTGCAGCAACAGTTGTACATTGGTTCCCGAGATGGACTGGCTCAGCTCTCCTTGCACAGATGTGACACTTATGGGAAAGCTTGTGCAGACTGTTGTCTTGCCAGAGACCCCTACTGTGCCTGGGATGGAAATGCATGCTCTCGCTATGCACCCACTTCAAAAAGGTGAGAGGCACATCAAATTAAGATGAAGCCTTGCTTTTCACACAATGAATATCTTACACAAATACCTTCTCTTGTAGTTTAAAGAGAAAACATATAGAGAACATGGTCTGTGGTAGGAATATTACAATCTAAATGTTTTAGAGTTTTTCATACAGCTAAATTTTGAAGGAGGATAAAACAGAATGTTCTGAAATCCGGAAATGTGGAAGTCTTACCAAACCAGTTTTGTTTGATGCACAGCAAGCCAAACGTGGAGATGCCAAGATGTGCAGCAGGGAATGGGTTTATTCACAAAGCAGTCAAACGGGGAGATGGGAAAAACAAGTCTCAAATTCGCCTCCCCAAAGGCGAAGGGCTAAGGATACTTACGGGAGAAAGCTGAGGCATGGGGAGCCTGGGGAAGCTTAATTGGAGATTAGAAAAAGGTGAGGTAATCATCGTTCTACGCAGATGAAACTAAGCTACAAGCTTCTTCCTGGGATGCCTGCTCTGAGCGTGGATTTTTTGGCCTCTGGTGTCAAAAGGTCACTGGACCCTGCCACATGCCCAGAGGGAGGGTCGGTGGTCCTAACCAGTCTTAACCGGCTAGAGCTCAAACTGAACACAGCTGATTCCAAGTTCCTAAACAACTTGGGCAAACATCCTGTTTAGGTTACCTGAGGCTTGGAGGACACGCACGTTTTTATAGCAACTATTAAAGCAAGCTTGACTAATGAAGGCAGGTTACAGGTTTCATGGATTTAACTGATGATAACCCTCGGTTTCAGAGCTTTAAAAAATTCTGATAAATTGTTTATATCCTTTTTCTTCATCTTTGTCTAAAAGCATGAAAAGTTTGCTTTCTTTACTACTCTACTCTTTGTATATTCTTCCCTTATTTATAAATATGTATATACTCGTAGTTACTGTTTTACAAATAATGTATAAATATGTTTTTATAACAGTGTAGATTATATACAGCCCACAGCACATCCCAGTGATTCTGCATAATTTTGCTTTTACTCCAACTTGACCAATTTCTGCCACCCAGATATGCTTAAATATCCAACTACATCCTGCTGTTTGTAGTTTCTTGCTTTATGTGCTCTTAAAAATAATGCTATTCTGGGCCAACAGTACCCAGCTAGGAATTTATTTTACACACACGGGCAAAAAAGTACCACAAATTATATGTTTGATTGTCATTTCAGCACAGTTTTCAACAGCAAAATTACTGGAAACACCCTGAGTGCTCATTAATATGACTGATGGTGGCTGAGTATATTAAAATATCATTATTTTAAAGTGTGGTTTATAGTAACACTATTTTCTAAAGTATTGCGCAAAGTATATTTTATTCTACGTAAAATGTCAGCAAATTGTATGTGGTATTTTTTTTTTCATCTTTAGGTCTCAACAAAATAAGGTAACAGGTGAGCATATGTTAGTCCCGCTACTACATATGCACTTTTATTTTTTTGAATGTTTACTGATTTGTCAAATTGCAAATTCTAGTAATCACAGATTGAATGTATAGTACAAAAACAGATACTATTCCAAGACCTTTTTATATTCCCTGAAATCTCTGAATTAAGTGGGGAGATACCATTATTTCAAGTTTAAAGTAAAAAGTCACAACATTTTTGTTATAGTTTTTGACAAAGAATATACTCATCCTAGTTAGTCTTTGGGGAGTGCTTTTCAAGAACCTAAAAAACAAGAATGCTCATTTAGTTGGTAATGAACCTTCAGTTTGATGAATTGATCCTGTTCCCTAAGAAGCCAAGATTTAAAAACATTCTTGACCTTATGTACCTTATACCATCATAATTTTTTCTTCTTGTATTTCTCAAGACTGTATCTCTGATCTTGCAGACAAGCCACTGTGATGTTCTCCCTTACCTAACAATGTCCATGTGAGCCAAAAAATGTGTATGATAAATGAATCTTCCACAGGGCTGTCATCTGGTCAGCATGCCCCTTAAGGAACACCCTACATATCACAGAATGTTTACTGTGACATCTAGGATCTCTGATGTGGCAACATAAAATAACCAAAGCAAATGAAACTGTACTCCGAGTGTAAGACTTATTTAACTTAGATGTGGCAGATTTTTACTTTTTTTATGCAGTAGTTACTATTTTCTCTTAAGGAAAATATGTGACAATAATGTACAAGGCCATTATTTTATTATTATCATTATCACTACTCTCAGAGAAACAATGTGAACTATGTGTCAGTAGATAGAAATAACATCTAGCCATTATGCCATATCAAACTTGTACTTCAAGTTTCAAATGATATTTATCTCGTTGTTTAATCACGTCAATATAATAATGAATCTTCATATGATAAGGCATTTTGTATTTGTGTGTACTTTCTTACCCACTAACTAAAGCTCTTTTATATCTTATTACTTTTCCGTTGGCTGACTGAAAAAAAGAAGATACAAATAGTTACCCCCATAGGAAGTATATAATAACTGGATTGTATTTATATTCAACCTGTTCTGTTGAATAATTTGTCAAAAGTCAGAGAAAAAGAAAATTGGGGTAGTTAAAAGAAATTCAGATCACCTTATTACCAAAACAGGATTTATTCTGAAATAAAATTCAGATCATCTTATTACCAAAACAGGATTTATTCTGTTGGGACTCTACCACTAGTATTATTTGAATTAATGTTAGAGTGATTGGAATATTGACCTGCATTTAAGTTGAGCAGTAAAGCATAATTCTGCTTCTGCTACTGTTATGAGTGTTAGATGTAGACTTTGTATATTTCAGATATCATGCTTGAAGTTCTATTTAATCCCTTTTGCATAGGCGAGCTAGACGCCAAGATGTGAAGTATGGGGACCCAATCACCCAGTGCTGGGACATAGAAGACAGTAAGTATAGGTTTAATTACGCTTTCCTCCCACTGAAAATTTTAAGCCTGGTCTTTGTGTTTCTTTTTTATTATACGAGTTAAAACACCTACTCATTTTGTGTAATGCTTGCATTCTGGAAAAGCAATAGGAGGTTTTATAAATCAACCCCCTGTTCACGTGCCTAAGTGGTAATTCTTTGTTATATTTGCTTCATATGGCTTTTAAAATTCCTATACCTTTTTTTTTTCTTTTTTAATGCCTTATCCATCCTTGTAAAGTTTGAAACTGCTATTAGAGATAAAGCAGAATATAGTCCCAAACATATGGACATTTAGAGTAAACTCAAAGAGACCCTCCTAGAAAAGTTTGATAAGTGTTGGACTTACTAGAAAGAAATTTTAGGTAGCCTGTGCATTATTTGTATTCACTTATTAATTTGTGTATCCATTCAATCAGTAAATATTTATTAAGTGACTTCCATGTGCATGTAATTGTCCCGGATCTACTTTGAGAGAAAAAGCTCCTTAGAGAACTTAGAATTCTTTGGGGAAATGTCATAAGGCACAATTAGTGATGTGGGAGTTTAGCAAAAAAAGAGGTCACCAGAGGCTGTACTGTTCAGAGAAAATGTCATAGAACGGAAGATCTTGAAAGTCTGAGTGTGAGAAGGGCAGAGTGGAGAATTGAGAGGAAGTCTGTTCAGTGACTCTGATAACACAGAAAAAAATCTGTAGAAGTATATATTCCAGAGCTTTAGTTACTTTCCACTCCCAAGCTCTGCCTTCAGATAGAAAATATATGCACACACACACACACACACACACACACACACACACACACACACACAACTGGAAGAAGAAATGAACTGCCTTTCCATCATTATATTGTTAGTAACCACCTGCCACTGAATAAACAACCCAGATTTCATAGTCTATAACTGCTGGTCTGGCAGAGTTTTCTTTTTTTAAAAACAAAACAATTACTTCTAATTTATAATATCATTCTTCTGAAAAATAAGCTCTAGTCCAGAATAGTACGTTTGTCTTCCTGTTCTAATGTGTAGGTGACTCACTGTAATGTACGGTGTTTTATTTAGCAATCATTACTGTATGCTATGCACAGTTTTTCACATGTGCACATGAGATTAGAAGGGACTATTTTAGGTATTGAGGATATACTAATGAACATAAAAGAAAAACAATCTGTGCATTCATGGGTCTTACATTTAAATGTGTGTTAGGGGAGGGAGCAGGCAACAAACATAAAAACAAGTAAAATATATGCCATATCATATAATGATAAATGTTATAAGGACTTATAAAACAGCATTGCTTACTAAGGCACTCACAATGATTGTATCCACTTCATCACAGCCCATTCTTGTTATAGCCCATTACACATCTCCTTTTCATCATCACCACTCTAACCCAATATATTTTTTGTCAAGATCACCAGCAGTTTCCTCCTTGCCAAATCCAATGGCCATTTTTCTGTTCCCATTTTTACTTACTCTCTAGCTCCCTCCTCCGTGGAACACTTTCTTCACTTCATGGAATGTGCTGGAGCCAGCTCTTATGGCCCCATGAGAGCTGACTGTGTATTATGGAGGAATTTTGTGAGCTGAGTTCTAAACCACTGGTAGCTTGAATCAGCCGTGGCAGGAGTATTTACACCAGGAAAATCGGCAAGCACTACAAATAAGGGCTTTTTGTTTTCAGAGATGGTCTCCCCAGCACCCCTCTGCTTCATGGTACCACAGGGAAAACTTCTGGTTTTTCTCTTACCTTACAGGTTTCTCCTTCTGAGTGTTCTTAACTTTCCTTTTCATCCTGCCATCCAATCTCTGTATATTCACTCCTTAACGCCATCCATTTCAATACTATCAGAGGCAATTTTTTTTTTAGTTTTTTTTTTTTTTAATTGAAGTACAATGTTGATTTACAATGTTGTGTTACTTTCTGGTGTACAGCAAAGTGATTCAGTTATACATACATATTTATTCTTTTTCATATTCTTTTCCATTATGGTTTATTACAGGACATTGAATATAGTTCCCTGTGCTATACAATAGAATCTTGCTGTTTATCCATTCTATATATCATCATTTGCACTGCTAATCCCAAACTCTCAATCCATCCCTTTGCCGTCCCCCTCCCCCTCCCCCTTAGCACCCCCAAGTCTGTTCTCTGTGTCTGTCTGTTTCTGTTTCATAGATAAGTTCATTTCTGTTGTATTTTAAATTCTACATATAAGTGATATCATATGGTATTTGTCTTTCCCTTTCTGACTTACTTTGCTTAGTATGATAATCTCTAGGTCCATCCATGTAGCTGCCAATGGCATTATTTCATTCCTTTTTATGGCTGAGTACTATTGCATTATATATACACACCACATCTTCTTTATCCATTCATCTGTCGATGGACATTTAGGTTGCTTCCATGTCTTGGCTATTGTAAATAGTGCTGCTTTGAACACTGGGGTGCGTGTATCTTTTCAAATTATAGTTTCATCCAGATATACGCCCAGGAATGGGACTGTAGGATCATGTGCCAACTCTATTTTTAGTTTTTTGAGGAACCTCCATTCTGTTCTCCATAGAGGCTGTACCAATTTACATTCCCACCAACAGTGCAGGAGGGTGCCCTTTTTCTACAGCCTCTCCCGCATTTGTTATCTGTAGACTTTTTAATAATAGCCATCATGATGGCTGTTAGGTGGTACCTCATTGTAGTTTCAATTTGAATTTCTCTACAATTAGCAATGTTCAGCATCTTTTCATGTGCCTATTGGCCACCTGTACGTCTTCTTTGGAGAAATGTCTATTTAGATCTTCTGCACATTTTTTGATTGGGTTGTTTTTTTGGTTTGTTTGTTTTTGTTATTGAGTTGTATGGGCTGTTTGTATATTTTGGGAATTACGCCCTTGTTGGTCGCATCATTTGCAAATATCTTCTCCCAGTCCGTAGGTTGTCTTTTTGCTTTGTTTATAAGTTTCTAAGTTTGATTAGGTCCCATTTGTTTATTTTTGCTTTCATTTCTATTGGCTTGGTAGACTGACCTAAGAAAATATTGGTACAATTTATATCAGAGAAATATTTTGCCTACATTCTCTTCTAGGAGTGTTATGGTTTCATGTCTTAGACTTAAGTCTTTAAGCCATTTTGAGCTTATTTTTGTGTATAGTGTGAGGGTGTGTTCTAACTTCACTTGATTTACAAGTGGCTGTCCAACATTCCCAACAACACTTGCTGAAGAGACTGTCTTTTCTCCAGTGTATATTCTTGCATCCTTTGTCAAAGATTAATTGACCATACATGTGTGGGTTTATTTCTAGGCTCTCTATTCTGTTCCATTGATCCATATGTCTGCCTTTATGACAATACCATGCTGTTTTGATTACTGTAGTTTTGCAGTATTGTCTGAAGGTTGGGAGGGTTATGCCTCCTGCTTTGTTCTTTTTCCTCAGGATTGCTTTGGCAATTCTGGGTCTTTTAAGGTTCCATATAAATATTAGGATTATTGGTTCTAGTTGTGTGAAAAATGTCAGGGGTAATTTAAAAGGGATCTCTTTGTGTAATATGGCCATTTCAACAATATTAATTCTTCCAATCCAAGAGCATGGAATGTTTTTCCATTTCTTTAAATCGTCTTCAGTTTCCTTTATCAGTATTTTATAGTTCTCAGTGTATATGTCTTTCACCTCCTCGGTCAGGTTTATTTCTAAGTATTTTTTTTTTTTTTTTGATGAGATTTTTAAAAGGGATTTTTTTTTTCTTTTTCTTTCTTTCTTTTTTTTTTTCCCCCCCCCACTTTCTCTTTCTGATGCAATCAATTTCTGTATGTTGATCTTGTATGCTGCTACCTGGCTGAATTTGTTTATCAATTCTAGTAGTTTTTGTGTGAAGTCTTTAGGGTTTTCTATATGTCATCTGCATACAATGACAATTTTACCTCTTCTCTTCCAACTTGGATAACTTTTCTTTCTTTTTCTTGTCTGCTTGCTGTGGCTAGGACTTCCAGTGCTATGTTGAACAGGAGTGGTGAGAGTGGGCATCCTTGTCTGGTCTGGGTTTCAGCAGGGAGGCTTTCAGCTTTTCACTGTTGAGTGTTATGTTGGCTGTTGGTTTGTCATAAATAGCTTTTGTTATGTTGAGGTATGTTCCCTCTAAACTCACCTTGATAACAGTTTTTCTCATGAATGGATGTTGAATTTGATCAAATGCTTTTTCTGCATCTGTTGAGATGTGGTTTTGTTGATCATGTGGCTTTTGTCTTTCTTTTGTTGATTTGGTGTACCACATTGATTTGCATATGTTGAACCATCCTTGTGACCCTGGGATGAATACAATTTGGTAATGGTGTATGATCTTTTTTAACGTGTTGTTGGATTTGCTTTGCTAATATTCTGTTGGGAATTTTTGCATCTGTATTCATCAAAGATACTGGCCTGTAATTTTCTTTTTTGGTAGTGTCTTTGCCTCATTTTGGTGTCAGGGTAATGGTGGCTTCCTAGAATGACTTTGGGAGTGTTCCCTCTTCCTCAATCTTTTGGAAGAGTTTGAGAAGGATTGGTATAGTTTCTTCTCTTATTGTTTGGTAGAATTCCCCAGTGAAGCCTTCTGGTCCTGGACTTCTGTTTGCAGGGAGTTAATATTATTTCAGATTCTGTTTCACTTCTAGTGATCAGTCTGTTCAAATTGCCTGTCTCCTTTTGATTCAGTTTTGGTAGGCTGTGTGTTTCTAGAAACATGCCCATTTCTTCTGGGTTGTCCAGTTTGTTGGCATATAATTGTTCATAGTATTCTCTATCAGAGGCAATTTGACTCCCAGATTGATTGTCCAGTTCTGAACTCTCACCTGTGTGCAAGACTTGTATGCTCTGTGCCTGCTCAAGAACTCCTCTCATATGCCTAATAAGAATCTCAAATTATACCTGGGAAAGAATTCTTGTCATTTTCTCTAAAACTTATTTGTTCTGCAGACTTCCCCATATTAATAAATAGCACCACCACTCACCCAACTGCTTTGTCAAAAAGCAGCTAGGAGTCATCTTTTTATGCTTCTCTTTCTTTTACATCTTATCACCAGCCTCTCAGTACAGACCTTTGGCTCAGTGGTCACAACTGCCACTTCTCGTCACCTCCACAGATGCCATCCTAACCAGACCCACCAGAACTCTTCAGTAGCTGCTAAACTGGTCTCCCTGCTTCCATGCTTGCCTCCCTTCAGTCTAGATCCCACTCAGTAGCCAGAGTAACCTCTTTCTAAACTTCAGTCACGGGGCTTCCCTGGTGGTGCAGTGCTTAAGAATCTGCCTGCCAATGCAGGGGACACGGGTTTGATCCCTGGTCCAGGAAGATCCCACATGCCACGGAGCAGCTGAGCCCGTGCACCACAACTACCAAGCCTGTGCTCTTGAGCCCGCGTGCCACAACTACTGAAGCCCACGTGCCTAGAGCCAGTGCTCTGCAACAAGAGAAGCCACCGCAATGAGAAGTCCTCGCACCGCAGCTAAGAGTAGCCCCTGCTTGCCACAACTAGAGAAAGCCCGCGCGCAGCAATGAAGACCCAACGCAGCCAAAAAAAACCACACTTTAATCAGATCTTGTCACTCCCTTACTCAGAATCTTTCACTAGCATCTTAGAGCAATTAGGAAACACTCCACAGCCTTTACCATGGCCTGCGAGATTCTACCTGATCTGCTTCCTAACACCTTGTCTGACCCTCGCATCACTGTGGCACAGCTTGCTCACAGGCTTTCTCTTTTTCAAAAGCACCAGTCTGGTTCCTGCCTCAGCCCTGTTTGCATTTGTTTCCTCTGTACCTGAAGAACTCTTCACTTCAGGTGTCCACGTGACTCCATCTTCACATCATTTAATCCCGGGATTGAAATGTTAATTTCTCAGAGACACCCTTCCTGACTAACCTACCTGAAAAACCCTTCTTTCCTTCTAACCCTAATTATTCCCTAATCTGCTTTATTTTTACTTGTGATGCGGAACACAGCCAGATACTATATTCTTTATTTATTCATTCACTTGATTATTTTGTCTCTGTCACTGGAATATAAAGGTGGTGAATTTGCCTGTCATAGTCATCAGTGTATTTCCTGCACTGAAAGCAATGCCAGTATGGTAGGCATGAAAGAATCTTTGCGTAATGCATAGGTAAAAGGAAGGATACCAACATGGAGAGCACTTGAGCTGTGCCTTAAGGAAACAATCAAATTTTACTAAGTAGATGAAGTAACAATTATTAAAATCAGAAAGAATTCACATAGGTTTTGTTAAGTTTGTGATGATCCCTCTGTTATTGTCTAGAGTTCACTCTATTGGTACTAAGGAGCTATTTCATATTACTAAGAAAAGTTGTTTTTAAAAATAAAAGTAATTTATACCTGTTTGGTGACTGACTGGAATAGGAGAAGCCAGAGACAGAGAATCAGTTGTGAGAATTAAAGTAGAGATTATGAGGGTATTTACAAACTAAGTGTTTTCGATCTTAGGGGAGAGAAAGGGTCACATTTGAACACTTGTTTCAGGTAAAGAAGAAAGGAGATGACTTGCTTATAACCCACCGTAAATATGTGTTGCATTGAGTTGGTCAAGTCTTGAATAACTGGCAAATAGCTGTTTCGTTTCTTCCTTCCTTCCTTTGTTCATTAATCGCTATATACTGTGATACTGCATGATTATTAAAAATGATATAAAATCAGTAATTAATGTAGATGAACTGTGTTTAACAATGTTAAACACATATAATCTTGCTGCAGTGACTTCAGTGACATGTCATATGTGTATTCTAAAGAAATATTCCAGATATTTCTCTATGAAAAAAAATTTTTGCCTGCAATCTGGAAGATTAATATTATCTTTAAAATTATTTTATACTTAATGAGAAGATATTCTGCTATTTAAAAACATTATTGTATACAACTTTTGCACTTTTAAAAATGGATAGTAACAGACATTATATATAGTATGTATGTATATATGTGTGTGTGTATAGGTTTAAATTTGAAAATAGAAAGTTTTAAACTCAAACATTATTGGAAGAAACAATAAATTAATTTCCAGTCAAACTGATGTAGGGATGAACTTTGTTTCAAAGGGTCACTGTTTCTACTGATTTGAAAATGGATTTCTTATAATCATCTATTTCACTTTTCCAGTTGATTTCACTAATTCATCTTTCACTGAATTGACCAATTCTTTGGTTGAATCCGTCTAATTGAGTTTCTCTCAAGCCCTTGCCCCATCACCTAAACAATCAGCCTGCATCCTCCCTGCTTTGTTCATGAACTCCCTTTGCTCAGGAAAATGGTATCTGTTACTATGAAGTGATGCGTGTCTTTCGCTTCCGTGATCGGCACTGGTGATCTTCCTGTGCATTAGGAAGTTATTAGCTGTGAAAATCGTGGCTATAATCTGTTAAACTGCCAGAAGAGAGTGGATAGATTACAGATTTCAAGTGGAATCCACACATTTTGAAGGTTAGGTAAGGTTAATTCATAATGGGGTCAGCATGTTTGACTTAATCACTGCTGGTAAGACACAAATAAGTTCAAAAGAAGTTTCTTGAAAAGAAGCCTAACTATTGGATGCATGTGCATTCATTCATGCCATTTGCTGATAATTCTGCGTGCTTAGGTTTAGGATTCACTTAGGTCCCTTAAGCCTTACTCTGGTTTATGCCTAAAATGCTAAGTAGGCCCATCTGCAGAATTGAGACATGTGAATATACGATGAAAAAGTGCATGTTTGGGCCAGGCTGAGAAGCTGTCATTTTTTATTTGATCAAATCTGAGCTACAGATCTTAGATCACACATGGGACACAGCCTTTGGCTACTCTGGAAGGAATGTATTTCAGATGGTGCAGTTGATTTACGAGAATAAGGTGTCTGAGACACTGATCCTTTAGCCTCCCATTAACTATCTTATAGCAAATGCATGTTGGGCTATAATATCCCTCTCAGTAAAAGAGAACATTTTTTGGTAGATAATACAGATAAAGTCCTGATTCTGAGTATTAGAGCATCTAACTTATTAGCACCATCATAGAGTTTCATTAAGTACAGAGCACTGCACTTACTTTTCTGAGATCAAAATGTCATATGGTCATAACATATGGTTATATGTTACATGGTCAGCTCTGTGGACCAAATCATAATAGAATTTTGCTTTAGAGATAAGATAAATTGCTCTTCAGAAATATCTGCAGAATTAGTTATATTTTATATAAATTAAAAGGCATTAAAGCATTAAAAGATGTTGAAGTTTATTCAGTTCAGCTCAGAGAGGCTCAGTGTTTAAAGTTAGATCTTGTGAATTCTTATTTAAAAAAAGAAATTGCAAAAAGTTAATATATTGATGAAAGAGTAAAAGTTGCAGTGCAGGGATAGAGTTTTAAAAATAAATCTATTAGATAGTATTTTACTCTCAGGTTACAACATTATAACATGAATTTCCTTTCTCTTTAATAATGTGTATGAATCTTTCCTCCATGGCATCTGTTCTAAATCAGTCTATTTTCCCATTGCTTTTAAAATCGTGTCAAGGTTAATCTCCTATTCCATGTTTGCTTTCCAGGCATTAGTCATGAAGCTGCTGATGAAAAGGTGATTTTTGGCATTGAATTTAATTCAACCTTTCTGGAATGTATACCTAAATCCCAACAAGCATCTATTAAGTGGTATATTCAGCGGTCAGGAGATGAATATCGAGAGGAGGTAAGTTATAGTCATCAAAGAATGCTCACCTTGAGGGAAACAGTGTAAAACTTAAATCAAGTTTAGGTTGTGAGAGGAGATGTTCAACTTTTAGTGCCAAGTGGAGCTCTTATCACTACTTGATAACAAGGAAAATAAAATTTTATACTCTCTAGAACCCAACGTAACAATGCCTTTGAGATATGAATAGGCCAATTTAATGCAAATGTGTTAATAAATACATTTAAAAGCAAATTGCATTAAAAGAATACAGGATTCTTCTTCTACTTTTTATTTTTCACTGATGGTCTATATTTTAGAATAATTCCCTGATCAAGAACGAGACTTTCCCCCCACAAAAGCACAGTGGCTAAATTCTCTCTCTCATTGTGTTCAGTTTAGATCATAAAACATGTCAAGTTTGTAAAGAAATGGAAATATCTATCTTATCATATCATAGGAGCAAGTTGGATAAGTATCTGTACCTTTCCACTCTAGTGTATTAAAATTAAATCAACAGAGGGAAAGGTAATATGGATGCTCTACTCATCTTTTGAGTTTTTTCTGTTTCAGTTTTTTTCTAACACATACATGTGATTAAAACATATCACAAAGATTTTGTGAGATATGTAGGTTATATATGTTACTGAATTTAATGAGATGAGTTTGGGTAGTCTGAGAAATCCTGTATTATTATTCAAATGTCATGTAACAAAGGTTAAATGACAGAATTTTTATATTTCTATTCTAATACCTATAAGAAACCAGTGATACTCAATCTAGATTTCTAAGAGCCCCAATATTAAACTTAGTACACTGTAATGGTAATGGAGTGAACACAGGCTCAGAATTAGATGCGTTGAGTAATGATTCTTTGGTAATATTACTGAGGACTGTGGGCTGGAATTTTCTAAGGTAAATAAAATCAATGCAAAAGTTACTGTCAAAATTAAATGAGAAAACACATACAAGAATGTGAATTTCAAAGCAGAGGATTACTCACAAGTGTAAAGTATGCATATAAAATTGCAGGCACTCTCTACTGGGAGGACGTGTGAAATACGAAAGAGCACTGATGATGTGTTCACCCTGACTGCTGAGGGTTCGTAAGCAGGTGGTGACTTCTCTAGCACTCAGTTTCTCTTCCATATAAGCAGGTGGACCAGATGTTCTCTAAAATATCAGCCTCCTTGTGAAGTCTATAAACATTTAAATAGTATATGTAATCAGTCAAATATTACTGTGTAATAGTGGTTCTCAACCTCAGGTAGTTTTGCTCCCAAGGTATTCACATTTAGCAATACCTGGAGACATTTTGGTTGTCACGACTGGGTGGATGGAGGATGCTGCTGGCATCTAGTGGGTCGAGGTCAAGGATGATGCTACCATCCTGCAATGCACAATACCTCACAATAAATAACCATCCATCTCACCCAAATGTCAGTTGTGCTAAGGTTGAGAAACCTTGGAGTCAAAGAACCAAATTTTATCATAAGTGATTAATGTAAAGATATGTTCCACTGTTACATTAAGAAATTATCATTCTCTTCGTCTGAGAATAATTTCTCTATCAAAATATTGACCCTTCACATACTTAATACTAAGGGAATAACTTCCTTCTTTATTTTAGATTTCTCTGGTAAAACTTGATTCTTCATTGTTCCTAACATCCGTAAGTTCTAAGAATATGGCATATCCATATTTATACTAAATATTTATTTTAAGAGTCTCACTGTTTACCAATACATATTGAAGTTTTACCTGACATAGAGGTGATTTAATTTTAAGATATAAAGCATTTATTATTTATCCATGAAATATTGCAAGGACATTATCTGAAGTTTTGTAACATGCAGATTTTCTTTTAGATATATCGCAGTATTTTACTTTTGAATATCCCAAGTGACTATTTTTAATTTTATAGTTAATAAAGTTTGATAATTTCATTTAAATATAATTTTTTTAAGGATTTTTTTTTTTCCTCCATGACAAATTTAATCTGACTTTTAAAAAATGTGGAACTCTACTTGGGGTACTCTCCCAGTTATAGATATGTACGTTTGCCTATGCATGTTTGCACTCACATCTTTCATGTTTCCTGAAAATGCTATATATTACTTTAATGTACGTTTTAAGTATATCAGACAGTCATGGTGGTAGCATGCTCCATACATTTCAATGGAGCAGAGATAGTGTATTTATTGATTTATACTTTAAAATATTTTAGCTGTAATGTTTCAACTGGTATTTTCATCTACCTTTGTAAATAGTTCTACATTGTCCAGGATATGCAGTACTGCTTCCTGAACTGAGGAAAGGGGCAAAATCCAGACTAGATTTGAAGCATTTTTCCCAGCAGGATACCCTCCGCTCTTTACCAAGAAGGTCACAGTTTGAAATCTTTCCTCCACTCAAAAAAAGAAAAAAAAAAAAAAAAAAAAACC